AAGGTTAAATCCTAGATGGGGTGGGATCAATTGGTGAGATGTTGCAATGAGTTGAGTTCCGGGCAATCAGAAGAATTCTGTTTTTTTGTACAGAGGCTGACATCAACAGTTAGATTGCAATTGTTCTTCCTGGATACCATGTCATTAAAAGAAGCATTTGGCTTATTATTTCTTTATTTTCACAATAGAGTTGTCCTCGTTTAGCCTCTGTCTCATTTAGTGACCATTCACATTTACAACAGTGATGAAAAAGTAACTTTGCAACCAGTCTTTGCATTTATGACCTCTGCAAGTCTATAAAGTGAAGGAAAACTGAAATAAGATCGTAAGTACAATGGTGTTTTCACTTAGCAACCTTTTCATTTAACAACTGAGTTGCTGGTCCCAATTGTGATTGTTAAATGAGGACTATTTATATTTATAGCTTGCCCCAATCCTAATGAATAATTTGGCAAATAAAGGGCCTACATAAACAATGGAAATCAATAGTTAAAAAGCAAGGACATCAAAAGTTTAACCTAAAGGTCTACAGATTAATGGAGCAGTGTTGTTTGGCCCTACAATGCAAATGTTTTGAAAAATACAAGTATTTTTAAATACTTGTAAAGTAGGGACAAGCCATATTTCCAGGGAACGAAAAGGAGGGAAAGCGCGTACCATAAAATAAAGGCCAGCACTGAGACAAAGTTGCCTGCGTAGAATCCCATGAATCTCTCAAAATAATAGAAAGTTAACATTTAGCATTTTAATTATTAATTTGGGAGAAAAAAAAGATACTCAGAGCTGTAAAAGGAAAGAGAATAATTTGATTTAACAGGTGTACTTGTCCCAATTCAGAGGAATATAATAGCCCAGATTTTTAGTAAAGATCCACTACAGCCGCCGCCGCAAGTGGTTATTGGTTCTCCATCTCTACCTAAAGCTAACTAGACTGTGTTCCAACCTGAAACTCAGAAGATTTCCTGAAGGGGTAGTATGTTAGGAAAAAGCACTGTGGTTTGTTGTATCTCCTGCAACAGGCATCACATGTAGTAACTAGGTGATGCAGTTTTGACTGCACTAGGGTTTTCATCAGAGAATAAAACAGGCGTCATTCTGATTGGAGTATCTATTCCTGCTTGATCATCAGTATTCCCATTTTTATCATCCATTCTGATAGTGCACTGAAAGAATGGGGAGGGCTTGGCATCTGCCCAAAAGTTGTCCTGGATTCTCTTTTTTGCCATTAGTGTTGGGAGCAACAAGCAAGGGTTTGGGTTTTTTTTTTGTACCGGTAAGAAAGAGGATTTCTTCGTATGGACATCTCTTTCTGTGGCAAAAGATCTATGTTCTTTTCTGGTCCCTAGTATCCCTTTCCAGGGACCTAGAATTTCAGTCCAGATATATTGCACATGATGAACCTTTGTAGAAAAGTCTATAAAAGCAAAAGGACAGCTGTCAAGCAGTTAAGGATAGTTTAACTAGGAATGATTGCATTTCACTGGGAGACAGTGCTAGAACAGCTGCTGGATCATAGAAGGCTACCTCTGTACTTCATTACCATGAAATAAATGGGTGTCAGGAAGCATGATAGAATTCTAATAAGTAAAATAGAATCTAATACTTCAGAAACAAAATGCCAAACACTGTCATTTTTAATTCATAAAAATATCCTGGAAACTGGTTCTCTTTTATTATCATGAAATATTTAAACATACACACACACACATCTTTGATCTTTAATCTCTGGTCAAGGTGACCACAATAGTATGCCCAATAACAACTAGTTAATCCATTCACAATGGCAGCCTGCCAAGAGTTGTAGCTGTGTCTGCAATTGTTCAACACTGGAGGTGTCCCCTTGTCTAATTTTGCTTTCTGTGCATTGAGCTTATTGCCTGGTTACTGACAATGTTCCCTTTTGCAAGGCTGAAACACAACATTTGGTAGAGAATACAGCTCCTGTGAAACCCTCACTCCTTTAGATATGGAGCAGAGGGTGATGCTAAGAGCTTAGTCTCATTCCTGCCTTTTCAGTCTTAGGAATATCATGCGTTCCAAATTGCTTCTTGTGAAATATCACAAAAATGATACTTGATATGCAAAACCAAAAAGTAAAAGATGACAATTAAATCCTTGTGGGTTGTTGTTATTTTTATTGGTTTTTTTTTATTCATCTGAAGGCACGAAACATACCTAATATTCTTGCTTCCTATTTTCCCCACAATAACAACTCTATAAAGAGGCTTTGGCTGAGAGAAAGTGTCTGGACAAAAGTCACCCAGCTGAATTTCGTGCCCAAGAAAGACCTAGAAATGACAGTCTCCTGACTCCTAGGCCAGCTCCTTACACCAAACTGGCTGTCAATTGCTCACAAAGCAAAATGTATAAGAGTGTTTGTAGCTCAGGGTTGAAATGAGGGGTCCTTGATGTTCTCTGAGCTTGGTTGTTTTCTTGAAGCCATTTCATTACCCAACCTAGGCAACAGTATCATCAATGCTAGAGTGAGAAGAGTTTGTAGATTTGTTACAGTCCACGAACATTTCTGCTGGATGAGATTGAAAGCCCATCATGATCTAGCATTTGGTTTCTTAATGTGTGGTCAACCAGATTCTTTGAAGTACTTGTAAGCAAGGGCTAGGCACATAGCCTCCTGTCACCCATTCGCCTTCAAGTAGAATGTGGAGGCATTTTGCTCCCTGTACATGGAGTCTAATAGCCCTTGATAGCAATGCATCCCCTGACTGCATGCAATCTCCTTTTAAAGCCATCCATTGGACTCACCATTGCAACATACCCTATTTCTCCAATAATATGGCCTCCCCCAATAGGAAGTCCCAGCATGTTTTATAGGCATGAAATGAAATTAAGCCCCTCCCCCCAAATTAAGACCTATATTAAAACACGCGAAATGGGGGGGAATGGTGGGGGGGCTTGCCGTTAGGAAGCACTTTTGTTGCACACCCGGATATGGTGCTGCCTGCATTGACCCCGATACGAAGTGCCCCACTAACGGCGAGGTCAACATCCAAGCTGTCGCCGCCCACCCGCCTGAAGATGCAAAGGGGAGAATTAAGTCACCCCCGAAAAGACGGCCTAGCCATTTTTTCGGGACTCAAAAAAAAAAAAAAAAGACCCAGCTTTATTATATGAGAAATAAGGTAGTATGGCAATAAATTCTGTAGGTTAAATCATCTACTCTTTTTAAGAATACAGTTCCCTGATTCTGATGTTTTCCTCCTCCTTGCTCTGGTAGACAGTAGTCCCAACTTTTTTTAAAAAAAAAACCTTCTTCCAAAGAATACTGAGGCTTTATGAAATTCTAAAGCAGGAGCCCAGAATTCTAATTTGAATGGACAGGTACAAAACCTCGGGCGATTTCATGAATACTTAACACGCATTGCCCAGTAAACTATGCCAGACTTTTCAAACCGGGTTGCATCGATTACCATAATTCCCAGACGGTATGGCTGGAAATTAGAGAAGGTAATGTCTAACACACCTGAAGGAAATCAGTTTAAAGGAAGCTACTTTATATAATCCCGTGCTTAACAAAATTTTGATAAAATAATAAATGGCATAGCACCAACATTTTATAAGACTTTATAGTTATCTTTCCTCAAACTCAGTATTGTTCTTGCCAGCTTTGTTTTTATATTGGAAATGGTTTTATTCTATTTAAAGTTATTGTTCTGTGGCTTTTCTTCTTTCTATAGCTTTAAATTGCTTCTCTAGTTGCTAGGGGAATATTGCTTATTAGGAGTAAACATATAAATAATCCGTATAAATAAATAGCTTCCTGTTTGAATTGTCATTTAATGACGAATAAAAAAAGTTGGTTTCATTTGCATAACATAAAAATGTTTTTAAACAATTATCAATGTTCTGATTATTTTAAACTTCAACTGTTCCCTAAGGTTTGTTATCTATGATTGCTACCGATTTTCAAGAGTCTGAGAACCACTCAATTTTTTAATACTGAAAAGTGGAGTAGAAGTATTTTTGGTGAATTAGCTTTTAATTTTTCCAGTTGTTATCCTTAATAATATTACTTTTTAAAAAAAAGTATCTTCAGTGAACCTTTTACAGGTTTTAGCATTCTGAAAGCAGGATGAAGGAGGAAACTATTTTCTTTGATCCAACTTTCAGAAAGTTTTGTGATTTTCAATAACTTTGAACAAGTCAAAATATTCGTCATCTTTTCAAAAACACTTTTAATTAAATAGCTACTTGCAATCATTGTTCGATATTGGAAAATATTTTTATAATTTCTGGCTATAACTTGCTTTTTTATTTTAAACTCTATAGGATGGTTATATTTGCATGAAAAAAAGGTCCTTTCATTTAACAATTGCCCTTTGGGGCAATTTTTATAAAAGTGCAGAGTTTATTCAAGGCTGCCAACATTTTACAATGACAGTTTCAATGGGCATATAAATCTAAGGTATATACTGAAATCTAGGATTAGCATAGACTTTGAGGAGGCACACTTCATGTTTAGTCTTTTTCTTTTTTTTAAGTTGAGTTTTTTAAAAGTTTGATACTGCAAAAAATATTTAATTACATGAAACTGATTGCATCAGCATATTCAGCCATCTCATGACAATACCTTATACCAGCTTTTTCAAAGTTGGCTTCCCCATGTATTAGACTAAAACCCGTAATGAATGCCCAGTAACTAGGGATGATGGACATTGTTGTCCACCATAATCAGATTGGGGAAGATTGCTATATATAGATGTATCTGCATTTGGAAAAGCTGTTTTTTCTTCACTATATTTCTTTTAAACAGTCAGAGACATGCAATTAATTTCAGATTAATTGTAAATCATGGTGCTATGCTGCACATTAGAAAACCATTGTTGAATTGTTATGTACATTTTAACATATTCCTGTTGAGATGGCATCAAAATTTGGTGAAAAAAAACATTTGAAGAAGCAATAGATGCTTTATATTTTGATCCTGCAATTGTTCTCATATGATAGCTTAAACTTGATATCATACTCTGTTTCATTTGTAGGTGAGCAAGTCAAACCGTTTACACCAGAAGAAGCTAAAGAAATTGTAATGACTCTTCAAAAACCAGTGGTCTTTAGCAACATGACCTTCGATTGGCCGGTACTTCGTTGGAATGTTACACATCTGGCTAGTCTATTGGCTGGAAAGAAAATAGTTTTTAGAATAGGAAGGAAGGACACAGGTAGATAAGTACAACCTTTTTTCTCATTTCTCCCTGTACAGATTTAGTACTTCAGGTGTATTTTCTCCTTAAAATAAATGGGAAATACTACAAGATGGTTCATGGTAATATCATTCATTTTAAAATGATAAAGAACAATAATAAAGCATGTCCATTGTGAGACGGATTAGCAACAAGGTGCCCTCCAAGTATACAATGAAATGAAATGAAACATCCATTGACATCCATCCACTAACCAGTATTCCTGAAAGAAAGAAATTCTTTCTTTTCCCTTAAGGCTTCCTCTGCATCTATTCTAAATGTTTGGAGGGATGGGAAGAAGTTTACCTGCATGAATGGAAGTGCGCTGACATAAAGTTTGACATTGCTTTCACTATACAGGTAGTCCCCGACTTACAACAGTTCATTTAATCACCGTTCAAAGTTACAATGCCCCTGAAAAAATTGACTTATGACCATTTTTCACGCTAACAACTTTTGCAACATCCCCATGGTTGTGATCAAAATTCAGATTCTTGGCAACTGACTCATACTGATCCCAGTTTCATTATCCTGGGGTCATGTGATCACCTTTTGTGACCTTCTGACAAGCAATGTAAATGGAGAAGCCAGTTTCACTGAACTTATGTTGTTAACTTAACAACCGAAGTCATTCACTTAAGAACTATGCAAGAAATGTCATAAAATGGGACAAAATTCACTTAACAAACACCTCATTTAATGACAGAAATTTTGGGCTCAATGGTGGTTGTAATTCAAGGACTACCGATAACTACAATTGACAGTACAACGTATTTGTTTACAATGAACATTGATAATTTTTAATCCACAAAATGTTGTAGATTCAATAAAACATACTGCAAAATAACTATGTATAAATACATTGAACATAAAGGAGTGAAAGGAAGTACCTCAGTACAGAGTATATCGTTCGCTGTTCAAAAATCCTGTTAGAACTCTAGTTGTACATTATTGTTTAGAACCTGTCCATAGTAAATAGAATGCATATTAAGAAGGGATTTTATTACTTCTTCAGAAACATCTGTGCTGTGTTTATTGTTCTGAGCTATGTTGATATACAAGTACAGTTGGGATTGGGAGAACACACAATGGCCAATCCTGCTTAAGCAATTTTATTTTGAGTTCCAGAAGTGTCTGGGATCCAAGGAGTTGTGATTAAGCACCAATATTTATTTCCATATTGAAATGAAAATGCGAAAATACTGTCTTTTATTATTTATATGGAACTTATCTGATTTTATTCATGTAAAGATCTCTAGAATCCTTTGATGAAAGATGCTGTGTAAAATGTTCTACCTAAAAGCATGCTTGTACTAAAAGTGATCACTTTTACCCTAGGTTATATAGATGGGCAATTTCTTATTCTTTTATTTGCTCCCGCCCCTTAAATACCACACTTTCAGCTTTGTAGTAATCTATAATAAATTTGGTAGCAACATTAATTGAAAGGCAGCATATGGAATACTCAGTTCTAGATATAAGATATTATTTTATGATAAATACATTCAGGTCTGTAGACTACTCCCCATCTTATGGTATTTAAAAAGGAATAAGAAGCTGAGAGAGTTAGCCTAAAGTGCATGACCTGATGCAAAGCATGAAAATTATGACTATCCTATCGCTTTCTATCATTCAGGTATCTTAATGAGTGCAGGTTTTCATGATAACTTCATTAAAAAAAACTTATTCCATTATCATTGGACAACTGTACCTAATTGATAATTTTTAATTATTTACCATGGAAATATGAATAATTCACAACATAATGAATACTTTTTTATTTCTTGCTGAATCAGAGGTAAATTACTCAAAATCTCTGTTCAGAGGGCCACAGAACAAGCTATATAATCTTTTGACTTTGTCAGCAATAATTTTGAATTTTGCACATAAAATATCCAAGTAAATAAATTTAGTAGTTCTTGCAAGAATTTGCAAGAAATTGAGGCTAGCTGAGATGACAGATTGTATACTAAATTCAGCCAGCCCAATGTGCAAGGTTTTGAACCTACACCAATATTTCTTTGCTGGCTTTGCTAGCTAAATGAGTAACATTTGAATCCCAAAACATCTGGATGGTACCAAATTATCTGTCTTTGAAAAGCACTGGAATGAACTCTGGATCTTGCTTCCCTCAGCTTTTGCCCCCCCTTTTTTAGAGCAGATGGATCAGGCCCATGGTACGTTATTTAATTTTTGTCTATTATTTCTTATATAGTCCACATTCATATCAGAGGCGGAACACAGTTGATCTTATTTCTGTAAATCTACTAAAAACTGCAGATTAACTGCATTTTTAGAAGAGGAAATATTCATTAAACTTTGCATTTGGACAAAAGCCAAACCTTAAGGGGAAACTCTAAGTGCATACTTTTAAAAGAAAAGTAATTTCGGGTTTTATTTTTGCTTTTGTTTGAAATAAATCTGAACATTTGAGAATCTCATAGCAGCCATTCCCATGCAGTCAGAATAATAAGAGATGCCTTGCTGGTAAGAATGAAAAGCATCCATACTGTAATTAAATAACTGTACCTGATGAGTTAAATGAAGAGTTAACAATTGTTCTGCCATTCATGTATTCTGCTGCAATTTGGTTTCCCCAGCAACAGTAGTTTTGGCTAATGTGTAATATTGTGTGTTATGTTTTTGGGCTGATGGCCTAGTTCCTGTAATGAGAAATGAAAGTCTGATAAGCCATAAGCATCATTGCAATATTGGGGGGGGGGGGGGGATAAAACACCCCCTTTTTCCTTCTATGGGAAAATTTCGGGGTGAGGAAGAAGTTCACTTTATACAAATATTGAGTTTGCAAGTACAATTTCTAGCTCTCTTTACATTTCTGCATTTCAGATAATGCAAAACTGTGTATGATTACGCAAAGCCAAAAGTAAGATTAGTTCCTCCAAGCCCTTCCGTATCTACTCTGGATAAAATTAAGCAGTTTTATCTTGAGTCTTAATTGTTTGCACAGTAATAGATTTGCATTCCACTTACAATATTGTCAATTCTGTTGAGGTTGGCACGCTCAGGAAACAAGAAGCACCCCGATTTCGGGAATACTGTTTATTGCAAGTAGGATAACTTAACAGAATCTTGAAAGCCTGCCGAAGCAAGTCTCCAGATCAGCTTATACTTGGCAAAATTAAGGTGGAGTTACAAAGTCTTTTTCTTATGCTTTCCCACTCCCCTGGACTAAGGAATAATTTATGTAATGGTCTTCCGTCCTATAATGGTCTTGTTTCATCCTCTGTGTTCCCAAGGTTTGTCGTACATTCTGTTGCATATAGGAAAACTTACGTTATAAACTTTATTATATAAATAACACAATAGAGTTTGCTTTGTGTCAAGCTTGATATCTGATGACTTTTCAGACAAATCACTGTATTGTCTTGCCTTAAAAACACTGAACCGATTAGGCATTGCCTTCTTCTGAGCCTTCCATTTACTTATTTGCTTACTTTCCCGACTAGGCACCAATCCTAGTTTTTTTTTTTTTCTTAGTAGTTTTCTTAATGGTTTCCCTTGAAACCCTAATCAGGTCTGACCCTGCTTAGCTTTTTGAGATTAGTAGTGGGAAGTCAGTAACAGTCAAGCCATCTGCTTTCTCTCTAATAAGACATTAGAAATTCAGAATATTGTCCATATGAATATAGTTTTACTTATGGGACATTCTCACTTTATGAAGTGGGGAAACAATTCTTGCCCATTTTTCCAGATTACTCTAACTCACTGTATTTCCTTAAAGTCAGCTCAAGGGTTGGGGAAGCCTCCAGAGCAATATGGCCAATTGCATCAGGGCCAATAGGACATAAAGGGAATTGACTAAAATTGCTCACTTCCTTCTCCATCAATTGGCAATGTTCAGAGGCTCTCAATATTCTTTATTATTCCAAGAAGAGACATATCCACCGGCTCTCTAAATAATATTTTTGGAAGAGTTTCGTGCCCCATCATTAAAATTTGTCCTTGCCATTGATGATATTTTGTATAGAAAGGTCCTTGTCATCTTGATACTGCAGTATTATCTGCCTTTTATGGTATAAATTAAATATAATCATACAAGATAAAAGAATGCCAATGGGTTGAGAGAAATGGTAAAAGAAGGAATTTTGAACAATAGCAAACAGATGTTAATACGCACCTTTGTTATACGCAGTAATGTTGAAAAATGTCTTTGCCAGCGTTTAAAATCTGTTTTGACTTTTAAGCTTTAAAGAGAATAAAAACAGAAAGGGAATCTTGCTGGAGGAGACCAAAAGCTCATCTAGTTTTGTACAGATTTTTGTTCACAAAAAGATGAATGCTGGTGGATTCAAATATGCTTTTCATGCCCTGGTGAAATATGTACATTTGGCTGATCTATAAAATCCATCCCTCAGAAATCTATAATTAGTTTTTACAATGATCTATGTCCTTGAAATATAGATAAGCACAGACATACTATTGATTGTATGTGTTCAGAGTATTGCAGCGTAAATTCAGTGCCAGAAAAGTGAACACAGATGGCTGAGGATTCATTTAACTTCTTTATAAACACAAGTAAATTTTACAATACCAGTTGTAGATTTCTCCAACATGGAGCAAATTCAAACAGAAGCAGACATGTTACAGGTTCAGAGCAGAAAAGCAATTCAAGAGCTCAGAAACAGACATCAGTTTCACTTTGTTTCAGCAAGCAAGCAAGCAAGATACACAGCAGATCATTTTCAATAGACAGATTCAGAGCTTAACATCGCTTCAGAGCTGCAGAGCTTAATATAGAGCCATGCCTAGGCTACTTCTAGTTTCAGTTTCCAAACAGTCTTCATTGGCTGACCTTGTTACCATGCTCTATTCCAGTTGATGAATATGCTCTGACAGTATGCTATCAAATCGTTTTCAACTCCTAGAGACCTTATAGAGAGATTTTCTCCATGATGATCAATTCCTAACCCGTTCTTTCAAGTCTCCAAGTGGTGCTTTCATTGCCACTGAATCCACCCACCTTACTGCTGATTCTTCCACCGTATTAGAGTCTTTTCTAGAAATATGGGGGTTCACATAATGTGTCCAAGCTAGGATTATTTGAGCTTCATTATTTGTGTCTCAAGTGAGAATTCTGAGATGATTTGTTCAATGATCCATTGGTTTGTTTCCTTGGCTGTCCCTGGTATTCTCAGGAATCTTCTCCAATACCAAGATTCAAAGGAGTCAATATTCTTCCAATCCTGCTTCTTTAAAGTCATGGAGAATACCATACCATACCGTCTGTTTCTGATCTTTGTAGATATAAACACATCACAGCATTTGTATTTTTTCCAAGGCCTTTGTGGTTGGTCTATCAAGTATTTGATGTATTTCTTGACTGCTGGTTCCTCTACTGTTGATGGTTGATCTTAAAAGGCAGAACCTATTCATTACTTTGATATATTCATTGTCAGTTCTAAGACTGGTTATTAATATCTGTTGTCATTATACTAGTTTAGACTTTATATTTAATTTTAGTCCCATTTTTCCCCCTGTGCACTTTAGGTTTTAGTTTAGCTTGCAAAACTTGGCATCCTTGTTTGCAGATCTTGGCATTTTTGGCTGTCAGGGAAGGGACATCAACATATAGTGCAGGTTACATTTTCTCCTCTTCCAGTGTTAAAACCAACTCATCTTTTTCCTGATTCAGCTTTTTTTAATATACTGTATATTCCATATGTAGGTGGAATAGATAAGGGGAGAGTATGCAGCCTTGTTGCACTTTTTTGCCAACCTGGAGTCAGTCTGTTTTGCCACAATCTGCTCATACCGTGGCTTCCTAACCTGTATATAAGTGCTCATGAGAACAAGAAGTTATTCTGGGATTCCCATTTCTCTGAGCACTTTCTACAGCTGGATGTGAACAGCACAATTAAGGGCTTTTCTATAATGAATGAAGCACATATTGACATCTTTTTGGCTTTCTTTAGCTCTTGCTATTTTCCAGTTTGGATCAGTAATAATGCCTCATGTTCCTCTGTCTTTTCCAAAGCCAACTTGAACATCTGGCATCTTTTCTTCCATGTAGGGCTCTAATCGGTGCTTGATAACCCTAAGCATTATTTGCTAGCATGTGACAATAAGGATATTGTATAATAATTTGCACAATAAACCTTTTTTTGGGGGTATTGGAACGTAGATTTATCTCATCTAATCAGTTGGCCATGGTGTCATTCTTCAGATTTGCTAACATATCTTGGTTAATATTTTGACTAGTTCTTCTGCTGCTGCTTGCCATATTTCAGTAGGTGTTACATTAGTCCTTGTAGCCTTCCCACTTGGTAATGATAGAGTGCTGATCTAACATCAACTTTTAGTACAAGAGGTTCTTGTAAATAAGGAATATTTTCTAAGGTACCTTGGATGTTGGCATCTCTATTGTATAGTATTTCAGTATACACCTTCCATCTTCCTTAGATCTCTTTTTAATTGGTTACCATCTGTCTACTGGCATCCTTTGGCATATTAATGTTGTTCTCCTATGTATGCAGTACAATGCAATGAGTCATGTGTAGATGTGTACATTGAGGAAACAAAACAACCACTTCATAAACATATGGCACAACATAGAACAAACCTATCAGGACTAGATTCAGCAGTCCATCTGCATTTAAAAGACAAAGGCCACTCTTTTGTGGCCTTTTGAAGATAGCAAAGTCCACATTTTGGACAGAAAGGACCACTGGTTTGAAAGAGGGGTCAAAGAGACCATCTATGTCAAAATTGAACAGCTTTCTCTCAACAGAGGGGGAGGGATATGACATCATTTATGTCTAGTCTACAACAAGTCCTTTCAACAGTTCCAAGAAGATGCCACACCCATTTGCTCTACTCAGGTGACCCTGATGACACAGATAAACCTCCAGGTAGCCTCAACAACTCTCCAGAAGAATGCAAGTGACCAGGAATATAAATCCATTCCCCACCATCTAGTCAGAGCTAGAGAAGCTTCTTGGATGAGAAAGAAAAACCAGAAAAACTAGTTGCCTCTTTAAAAAGCACCTTGGTGACAACTATGACCTGGATGACTGAGAATCTCCATAGACATATCTGAAAGATGCTCAACTTGTCCTCAGTAGCATATGGTGTGCCATCCGACCTGAGGGGTCCATCATCCAGCACTATATTATCATTCATTTTACCTTTTTTATCCATGGGGTTTGAGAAGGTGGCTGCCTTCTCCAGCACAATTAATTGGTATCTGTCATTGACACTAAGATGATCATCTGCTTCTGGCATCTTTCTATAATTACGGCTGCTCAATATAGACATCTCCTTGGCTGAAGGATAATCTTCACACTTTGGGTGACACTGCTGGGGATAAATACTCCTAGTGCACAGTCCAGCATTATTTTTTTGATTCATCCCAGGAGCACCCACCACCCACCACCATAGTGCAGCAGGTTTTGGGTGGGATAAACATCTTATACATTATCACAGTGGTTCTCAACCTGTGGCCCATGGATCCTTGGGTGGGGCATAGTTTCATTACAGGGGGTCTTGAAAGCTTGAAGAAATGTTATTATTGAAATCTTGAGTTAAGTCTTGGCCATGACCAAAAAGGGTATTTAAAGGGGGCCGTGGTGAATTAAAACTTAAGAATCACTGCATTATCATATAAAGTTTGTTAATGCCTCGGTGCCCCAGAGAAATAAATACACTGTAATATCTACGTCTATATAGCCTTATTTTTCTTTTAAAATATTGGGAGTAAAGCTCTTTCCCAAATGAACAATGAATCTATTTTGTGAGGTAAAATGGCAAAAAAATGTAGTGGTACTTAATACTTTTATGGGGAAATTATTACTTTTTTAGTTGTGGCAATAGCCTACTGAATTTTCATCTAAACAATCAAGGAAAAAGGCATTTAAAATATTTATTTGGAACATCATAGGCTGACTCCCAGACTATATGTACAACATTTTCTTCTCTCTTATGAATACTGTCAAGGAGAAAAGACAGAAAAATATCTGGCTATTTATTTTCGGTATGTATTTCAGTTCCCAAAAGCTCAGATACTGACTGGTTTGACAGCATACAGATTCAACACCTGTTAAAATCCAGACATACTAAATGTCTCCACTTGTGAGCTGAACAATAATGTTTTTGCTGATGAATACAGGAAAGAGAAATGTTTCTGGGGAATATTTGGGGAACCTGCTGCTTGTAATCCAAAGTGAACTCTAGACCCTTGGTTTAAAAAAATGTCATTGCATAAAACAGACGCATTAATTCATTCATACGAGGTTAAATCACGACGGTGCCACTGATCCTCCAGCTTTTTATTTCATTTCTCTTTCTCAGAAAAATACAACAGGCAGTCTGAGTGCAAAGGATATCTAATTCTGGCATTATAGAAATGCAAGAAATAAGAATGTAATTCAGTCCCTCTGATATGCCAGCAAAGCTCAAAAAATTCTGGCTTATAATCCTGGAAGACAGCTGTTCATCCATGCCCACAGCAGCAGCCAAGATGGATCAGAGATTGACTTAATAGAAGGCAGCAACCTTGTGTTTCTGTGGACTAAAACCTAAGCTTCTTGGCTGGAAAGGAAACATTTCAGGAATCTTAACAGAGGCCCATATTCAAAGAGCCTCACAACTAGGAAATCAGTATCTGCGAATGGCAAATGAAGAGAATTTCAAAAGCAATTGAGAACAAGGCATAGACTCTAGGGCTAAAACAAAGTTCTCACTGAGGATGCCTAAGCAACTCTTTGAATCTTGACAGAGGTTTTTAAGAGAGTTGGAAAAGCACTGAGTTTCTGCAGTGCCACCAGTCTTTACATTAATGGCACTGCAGAAGCTCAGTACTCACTGTCACTTAAATCAGGGGTCTCCAAACCTGACAACTTTAAGACTTGTGAACTTCAATTCCCAGAATTCCCCAGCCAGATAATTCTGGGAGTTGAACTCCACAAGTTTTAAAGTTCCCAAGTTTGGAGAGCCCTGACATAAATGACGGTGGGCACATTCATTGATCATGCATCAAAATCTAAGCCCAAATTTGCTTGGATCCTGAAACAAATGTACAATTGTTGGAAGATTGGATTGCTGCTCTCACAGCTACAGATGAGGTTACCTGTTACTAAATTCAAGAAAGCAGTTCTCTTTTCCTACTGGCACTATGCATTTTCGGTGACTATTTATGAAATACATAAAGCAAGCAGCAGGCTTTTGGTTATTTCTTCTTCTAGATTTCATTTATATATCAATAAGGGTCCACATGAAACCCTGATGAGATTTGGTGTCAACATTATGAAAAATTCAGAAACTCCAAAAGGGATAAACATTTATTGAAAGAACTTGATATAGTTTAAAGGCAAATGCAAAACCTCATTTACAGACTTAGGCACTAGAAAGGCTCCCAGCAGTAAAAGAGTTACGCATGAGCGTTGTCATATATGCTGCATCTTCAGCTGAAACATCTATAAACTGCTGTAATTTCATTTGTGATTTTTATATTGCATTTAACCAGCAGTCTGAGGCTGCGAGAGAAAGTTATTGCTTTCTCTCCTAAAGTGCTTTGCTTCATATCTGTCTTCTATTATTGGTGTTGTGCTTAATGTGCATGTAATGTTGTCTCTTCTGATATAGCTACGGCTCCTCTCTTCGAAACGGAGTGTGCGTATGCAGAGGCTACGCTCGATGATTTTCTGGCCTGGAGTGGAAGACAGCAACCTTGTCCTTCTGGACCATTCAGTCGTTATGATTTGTGTAAATACTGGATGTATGCTGACTATAAGTACATCGATAGGCTATTTGAAGACAAGCCAGAACATTTTCAGGTACATTTGCTTTCCTTTGTCCTTTATTTATCTCATCAAAATGATAGAGTGATTCAGGAAATCCTGATTATTATAGAATTTTTTTCTGATATACTGAAAAATTAGTGTGCTGTGAAAGTTTTAAGAAAAAAACATTTTATTTTATTTTAAAATATTTTAAAATATTTAATTTATTTAAATGAATATTTAATTTCATTGCTAGTTTTCTTCTGAAAGATTCAAGAGCTCTACAGTATATATGAACTTTACCAGTTCCACTATCATAGAATCAAAAAGTTAATAAAAGTCATATGGGCCACAATCCAATTTTCTGCTTGAATATCAAATCTAAAGACAAAGCTTCCCCGGTAAATGGCTGTCTACTCTTGGCTTGGACGTCTTCCTTTGGAAGAAGCCCCATCTTTCTGAAGAATGTATTTTATTGTCAAACTATTCTTACCATCAAGAATTCCTTCTGTTATCCTGAAATTTCAGACAGTATCCTTCTGTAACTCAATCTCGTTAGATGATTAGATGTAGCCTATTTTCTGTCACCTTCTGCAGAAAGCCCTTGAAGGATGCTCGAAGAGGACTATCACATGTCTAACCAGTGTCCTCATGCTAGACACACTCACTTCCTTTATACATTCCTAGTAGCATTCCCTAATCAATAATAACCATTCCTTTCTTCTGAGTTCAATACAGTTAGATATAATGGTCTCTTCTTACAGCATTGCTTCCAGAATTGAATGCAGTGTCAAAATAGCCCATGAAGATTATTAGCCAGAAAGGCAATAATTAAGTCAAGGTCACTCATTGAATGTCCTTCCTTATCAGATTTTGACCAGCTCTTCCATACTGACTATAAATTAATCACTAAATATTTAAATCTCACAAACATATGCTAGGTAACCTTATACTACCCTTTAAATATGTTTTCATACTTGATTCTCCCTCTCCAAGCTGTAGGATAACAACACTGCCTTATCTTATTAGGCTGTTAGAAAGAATTCTGATACATTCAATGCAAAGCAGTTTAGATATTCAATTAAATATATTTATAAATAAAACTATATATGTTGAACATTATATGTTCAATGAAAACACTGTGTGATTAAAAACACAACACATAACCTTCAAACTCTTTTTGGACCATAATCCGTAAAATGTGAGGAGCTGTAATGGGATCTGTAATCCAAGAGCAGTTGCTGGATTATATGTTGCCTGTCCCTGAGGTAAATGGTAAGAATCATTATAGCTTTATAAAGAGGTGAGATAGAAAGGCTTTCAATAAATATATTTAAGAAACTGGAACATCAGACTTTGCTCAACATTTATTCAACCAGAGGAAGAGAGAGAGAATGAGAGATCTCATTATCTGTTCCTGGTGAAGTAGTTTGTGTATGACAATGATGCATACCATCAGGAGTGTACATTCACCCAAAGCCACCCAAGATGAGTAGTCATTCATAGAAGAGGGGACAATATAAATATAATCTACTGGAGAATGGCAACCTACTTCAGTATTCCACCAATGAAACCAAATGAAGAATAAACAATAGTTTCATGTCAATGTGGTTCTGAAAGATGAGCGTCCTATGATACTCATTAAAAAAAAATGACAGAATGAATAGACTATACCAACCCTATGCAGAAAAAAAGAAATAGTAAGAGACATTATCTTCTAAGCTCAAAAATGCACAAGAATGTTGTCTATAGCCATGAAATAAAGAGAACCTCTGCTGCTTGGGTGAAAGACTTTGTCAGAACTAAACAAAATAATAAAAGAGTAGAAATTTCATACTGAAAGCAAACCAGTCTGTGGTTTTCCCACTCAACATAGGACTATGAAAGCGGAACCATAAAAAAAAGATGAAGAAATATTATGAGCCTTTGAGATGGATGGCTGGAGAAAATTGGTTGAGAATTTCTTGGACTACAGAAAAAAACCAGATTAAATAAATCCAGACTTCCCACTGGAAGCACTAATAATGAAACTGAAGTTTATTTTGGACCTAACGATGAGAAGGAGCAAATCACTGAAGAGAGACTCTGATGCTTGAGAAATTCAAAGGCCACCAAAAAAAGGCAATGGAAGATAAAGAAACTAGATAACTAATAGCAATAGCACTTAGACTTATATACCACTTCACAGTGTTTTTACAGCCCTCTCTAAGCAGTTTACAGAGTCAGCATATTGCCCCCAACTGTCTGGGTCTTCATGATGCAAATGATACAAATATGAGTTCTCAAACATTCGGAAAAGAGACTGTAGAAAGCCAGCACTGGCAAGAAGAGTCAAAGCAACTGAATGGCTGAACAATGACAACCACCACCAAGAGAGCAACAGACAAAATGGCAACAGGAGTGAAACATTTCCTGTTCCTCTTCTCTCCCATGTAGCAAAGACGTGTTTTAAAAATGCCTGTATATTGTAATCTGATTTGGTCACAACATGAAGAGGCTTTTTTTTAAAAAATGCTTAAGATACTGAGTATTATTAATGCCGTTAAACTAGCTGAGAAATTTGCTTCCATTGGTAACTTGTCTTTTCTAAATTTTCATAGTGATCTGCTGCTTTGCATCTAGTTTTTATTTATGTTTTTTCCTAAGGTGACTTGAAGGGTACAAGAAGGCAAGTTTACCTATTTTTTTGTTCACCATGATTAATTGAGCCATTTAGAAGTTGTTTGAAACTTAGATTGCACTGTTTATCATTTACAGTTATGTGGCTTAAGGTAATGATTCTATTATTTTAACGGGCAAACAATATCTCATGTCATCCAGAATTTTTGTTGTTGTTTCTGTTGTTAACTTGATATCACATTACAAACTTCTGACCAATAAATCAAAGGCAAGATAAATGTGTGGAGCTTAAATAGAAATGAGAGCTCTTAAAGTGACATGGGTATATTAGCTCTGTTGTAAGTAGTAAGCAAAATAAATGTAAGTCAGAAGTAATGTGCCACTTGTTATGGTTGGGATACTTACATTTGTTTCAGTTGCTGATCTTTTTTCTTGCAAGAAAAGAGAATGCAGCCCATTGTGCCAGAATTTCAGAACTTACCAATTCCTTTTCAGTTCATGGGATAAAAACTACTTTGCCCATAATCTGTCAGATATTTATTGAAGCTATATACTTTTTTTTAAAGGGGAGTTTTCTGTTTTAATCTAATATTGATTATGTTCTCTCTCTTTGTCCTCAAGTTTCAACAGAATGCAGAAACCAGTTAGGTGTGAGATTAAAGTGTGGAATTGGCTATTACTGTTAACTTTATCACCGAAATACTTGGATTGGATTTAAAATTTTATGGCTGTGGAAAGCTGGAGGAGTAATTTTTTCTTTGAGGTTTCTTGAAGCTTCTGACAAATGTTTGCATTAGTCTTTTATATTTTTTTTCTTGTAGATCAAGTAATATCCTGCTGTTACCTCATTAGTGGGCAGGTTAGCATTTACCTGCGTGATTCTCCAGTGTAGAGTCTCAGAAAAATAGATATAATCTTACAAAGAGTTAAAACTGCTTTATAGCAAATCAGGATATATTAAATGTTGCCAAGGTTTATCTCTGAAGCTGGCGGAAGAAAGCTACGAGAAAGAATTTAGGAGGGATAGTGGGGTTTTATATGTCATATGCCATGCATATATGGATATAGTGCTTCATGCTGGAGAAGCTCATGCTAATACCATAAAATTTATATAATATAGAATGTGAGGCAGTATTAAAAGGTCATGCTGTGGAAGAAAAAGTATTTCTGGATTCTGGGCCATTCTCCGAAGAAACAGTTCTTGTTTTCAGAGGCCATTTTGTTTCCTAGACAGAAAACCAAAGGTCACAAATATTATTTCATGAAAGAAATGAACATACTTATATCTTCACTACTCTCTTCCTTCTTTCCACCTTCCCTGCATTCTTTTTTGGAAGAGAAGTAAATGAACAAATCAAAATGCTGTAGAAACTGCAGAAAGCAAAATATGCCAAAGATCAGTATTATCTACTGTTATATTCGCTGCATACTTCCTTATGTGGTATGCAGTTGTGGTGCATTGAAAGAGTCAATGTGGTCTAGCTGTTAAGATGCAGAACTAGGAGTATGGATATCCAGGTTCAAATGCACCTTAGCCATGAACTTTATTGAGCATCTTTGGATCAATTGCTTTCTGTCAGGACAACCTACTGTACTTCACAGAGTTATTGCATGGAATATTACAGGAAGGAGTGCCACGTATAGGAAATTGTATGCACATTTCTTTCTCCATTGGTAGCATCAAATAGAAATATTCTGATCCAAGAATATAAACATATATCATTAGGTCCTACACAAAAGAACTTATCATGCTTCTTGTTTCAGTTATATACTCACTGTATCTCTCTATGCTATGAAAATTAGCAGTTTACTCAAGGTTGAGGAGATAACAACAAACAATCAATTCATAACAAAACAGGGTCTCTGAAAGAAGCTTACTTGAGTAATTTTCCCTTAACAGGAATGCACAGAAGAATACTCAAATCTACTCTAGAATTCTGAGAACATGGTCACGATTGCCAGTCAATCTAGAGATGGCATTAATGATTGTCAGTCAATAGATGGCATTAATGATGTCCTCATCATTGAAGAAATTGGTGTTGATACACTTAGTGAATTGGAATGGCCTTTGGCTTATTGGTTTCCTTTCCTTTTTCAAAATTATTTTCAGGAGATTCTAAAAATATGCCACTATTAATCCCCCCAAACAAACAACATTATACAATAAAATTTCTTAGATTTGCTGTACTTATAGCAAAAGATGTAAACTGATATGTTACAAAGTGAAAGAAGAGATCATTTGGGGGAAAAAAACAGTGGTAGTACCTTTCTTCCACGGTAAGCCAAGTTAGATAATTACACTGGACTACAAGCACCCAGACTGATTCTTTGTTTTGCATGCTATGTACCTGGACAGTTCTTATCTATCTTCAAAGAACTTTTCTGAATGAACCTTGATAATAGGTATCCTCAGCCACTCACAATCAACAGTACCTAAAGAGGAGGAGGTTAAAAATAGGAAGATGGCATATGTGACATCATGATCCAAACCCCACTCATTTTATATAGATGTTGACATCACATATGTACAAAAGAGATGAAATTTGTACCACCACATATATCATCATACATGTGTACCATGCATTGTAATGTTACAACTCAAGTACCACAATAGCAATAGCACTTGGACTCATATGCCACTTTACAGTGCTTTATAGCCCTCTGTAAATGGTTTACATAGTAAGCACATTGCCCACAACAATCTGGGTCCTCATTTTATCCACCTCGGGAAGGATGGAAGGCCGAGTCAACTTTGAGCCGGTGATAATTGAACTGTCAAACTGCTGGCTGTCAGCAGAAGTAGCCTGCAGCATTACATTTTAACCACTGTGCCCCCATAGCTCTAATGATGTGAATTATATCCATTGTCTGGATTGCCTGAGGATATGTATTGGGTGATGTCCAAGCCAAATTTTTGTCCATTGTAGCTGAAGTCTGCTAAAAGTGATTTTGTAAAATCAAGGTTTTATTGTATAACCTTTGCAACAGGACATTAAATGGTCTGACTTTGGATTTCCTGGAAGAAGTGGAAAGGAGAGCACTCTATGGATTGGCTCCACTGGAGCAAACACACCCTGTCATTTGGATTCCTATGGTTGCAACTTGGTGCTGCAGGTGCAAGGCAGGTAAGAAGGAATAGACAATTGCTCTATTTACCACCCTGATAAAGGGATTCCTGATTTTTTTTTGTTTTTACTTTTAAACTGCTCTGATGTTCAGAGCTTTTTCATGGTGCAAAGTGCCTAGGCTCATTATTAAGAAAGAGAAATGTTTTTAAAAGAGAAAATTGGTACCCGTGTTAATTAAATCACTACATTAATGTTCATATAAAATCTTACTACTTCTGAGACAAGTAGTTACAGTATGCTTATTTATAGATACAATCCCTTGTTTTCTCTCTCTCATCCACACACAAATATACCATATGTATTCCTTTTCTGAAAAACATTTCTTTAAAAATGTACTGATGCTGGAAATAAGGCTACTTAATTTTTCTATTGTTCCCTTCTGATTAGATCACATTGAATCCATTCACAGGGTTTTCATGCATTAATAGTTAACACAGGCTATGCAGATAAGCTGTAGCAGCCAATCACAAGCAGAGTTGAGCATTTAATAGTGGGGCACCATAGGAATAGCATTTAGGATTATATACCACCCCATAGCACTTTACAGCACACTCTGGGCAGTTCACAATGTAGAAGCATTATTTGCACATTGCCCCCAAAGAATCTGAGTCCTCATTATACAATCAAACAAACTTTCTTTTTTCATTGTGATCATTCCTTTTCCTTGGCTTCCCTTTTTCTCAGGGGTTACACAACCTGAGGTTCCAACACACTTCAAAAACATTGCTTCTGACTGGTCATTTATAAACCAAGAAAGAGAAACATATTAAACACATGGGTAGCAATCCTATTTCAAGCATTTCTTTTAAAATTACATTCAGTTTTTAAGCCCGATCATGCCACTTTTGGAGGCGGGGGGGACGGGGACTGTTGCTCCTGGCAGAATTGTGAAGATTGATGTGGATATTGGCAATATGTAGTGCTGTATAATTTCCATTGATCAACAGGAACAAGGGAGCTTGTATCCTTTTATTATTTTATTTTTAGAGCAGACATTCTAATTTTGTTTTATTCAAATTTCCCTTCTCAGTATTTTCCACTTTGATTTTTTTTTTAAAGGGGTGCCAGAAATGTAACGCAGCATTCCACAGTAATATTAGAAATTACATTTCAAATAGTTTGGAAATTGCCTTTTTCTTTACTGATGTGCACAGACTTTCTTTCAACTGAAATTTTTACTAAGATTTCTTTCTTAGTTCATTGCCAATTGAGACTCTGCTGGTGATCTGAGAAGTTGAGATTTCTTTCAAAGTGCACAACTTTACTTTTAATATGTTGGATATTGTTTGCCGTTTAACTGCCCATTCCACAAAACCTTTAGGCTTTAATACATATTTGAGAACATCCCTTCCTTGTGTCTTCTCTGGTAAATTTGCTCTCTCTGTTATGATTTCTAAAACTCGTTTATGTGCTTGTTTTGCTCTGGTTTGCAAGTTGAAAATGCAGCATTATGGCATACGTACCCACCCACAAACCATTTAGAAAGCTTGTGTTTTGCAACATTAAAATATGGGCAGAAGGTTTGTGAGTTTGAATGCAGTGAATCCACAATGAGGAGAAAGCTGAAAGGTTTTATTGAGCAAAGTACACCAAAATAGTAACTTTAATTGCGAAATATAACATAGAGCAGAAAAATTTATAGACAAGGCTATTTTTGGACTAAAAATATAAGAGAGATTCTTACAGCTCTTTTACATCCAAGCTTCATCCTTGACAGAGGACATTCCATAACTAACATATAGCACACTCTTGAGGCTCAGGCCTGTGCTTAAGCTAACCCATGGGTGGGTTTTTCAGCTTATACAGTATGGGACTGCACTTGTTTACATTTCTAATTTAGCACATATATTGTTTCTGCTTCTTGGGTAGCAGTTATTGAACAGTACTTAGGTTATCTGCAGATAGTTGGCTTTGGAGTTGAAAGAAAACAAGTATTTTTAACCTAGGCTTACATAAGAGAACAGTTAATCACGGTGAGCAACTGGAAAGATGCAAAGGCTTGTTTTGAGAAATCTAAGTCATTCTATGCATATAGAATACCAAAATATCAAAATGAGGTCTTTTTGTACTGGAAAGCACAGAGAAGGACTGCATCCTTCAAACTTCCTTGTCCATGTAATCCTTTTCTGATATAGCTCTTCAGCTTGAAGATAGGATTGTAGCCAGTACCCCAAGGTCTCCAGAAACATTTGAATGTTTTACTTGTGTAGGTATACCACGGCTGAAGCCTCACTAGATGTAAAGAAACTTGTTTTCAGCTAAACGTGGATCGGAATGTAGGAAGTTGATCTTTACAAGGTTAGATGGTCTCTTGAGCCTAATTCTGATATGTGATATTCTTCAAGGTCTGTCAGATGGAACCCTTTTACAATTTTGCAATCTGAAGCTTTTAACTAAGGGTGCCAAAGATAGAGGACAGTAAATGCAAAAACAGGTAGACCCTGCAGCCTATAGGTTCCTGCTATCCCAGCACACCAATATCTTAATCCGTCCCAAAGAGAAATAGCATGTGCTTGTCCATCAGAATTGAAGCAAAGCTTCTATTCTTTTCAGATAGCCCATTAAACTCTTAACAATCTGAGGAACGGGGCGAGGCATCTTAGTCATTTAAAGGAAATATAGCTGATCTGATCATTACAATTTTGGACATCTTGTCTCTTTTAGCTGAAATATGATGGCAGCACAGTCCTCAGGGAAAAATGGATCTTTTGTCCCATTCCAAATTACAGGAAATGCAAACGATTATACAAAATACTTTGTAATGTGTTAATGGTATTCAAGCTAGGATTGATACATAAATATCAAAATAGTAAGACTTAACTATTTATATGGCATAAATTGTATCAAAACAGTAAGACTTCACTATTTATGTGGCATAAATTGTATCAAAACAGTAAGACTTAACTCTTTATGTGGCATAAATTGCAGAATAAGTAACAATACACAGAGAACGTTACCATCTTGAAAACTAGTATTCTATTCTATACAAAGCTGATTTATCAGAATAAAAAGACGGTAACACATTTGTTGTATTGTTTTTCTTTGCAATATTATCCAAGCACATCCAGTCCAAATTTATAATTTGAACTGAAACACTCTACAATGTTCATAACTGTTTTTTGCAGACTTCCTCACTTTAGAATCCTCCAGAAATGTTGGATTTAAGTCACCACAATCATTTCTCATGCTATGGGGAGTGGTTAGACAACACATCTAGAGAGGACAGGTTATGGGGGGGAATGGATTTACCGTACTTAAGCTATATGCACTTTTACTAAATTTGGATTCAAATTTTAACCAAAAAGGCAGTTCGCTTTATGCTAAGTAATAGTGTACTTGGTTTGCTGTAGTATGCTAAGTGAATACACCTATTGTGATTTTTGTCATAAAGCATGAATATTGTAATGGATAATGTGGATGACCTTGGGGAAAAAGTGAAAGAGATATGCTCTCTAGAAAATCAGACAAGAGAGGGAAGAGCCCCCAAGGCATAGTGGTTAAAGTGCAGTATTGCAGGCAAACTCTGCCCATAGCCTAGGGTTCAGTTTTGATGGGACTCAAGGTTGACTCAACCTTCCACCCTTCTGAGTTCAGTAAAATGAGAACCCATATTGTTGGGGGCAGTATGCAAATAATGCTTCTACATTGTAAACCACCCAGAGAGTGCTGTAAAGCTCTATGGGGCAGTATATAAGCCTAAATGCCATTGCTATTAAGGGTCAGAGATAGAAACTGAGGAAGGATCTGCTCCAACAGATCAGTTAAGAGTGATATTTAGAGGTTCGTACTTTCACACTTGCAAGATTCTGTTAATGTAGCCTTACAATACTGTAGAATTATCTAATTGTGTTTCCTGTCTGGTTTTCCTGGGATGGTTAACAGATATGCAAACTACAGCTTATCATAATGTGTGAACTTAGGCACAATTTGCCTACTTGCACTTGTACCTTATATAACTTCAAGATGCAAGTTTCCATTATCTTTTTCCAGGAAAAGGTGGCATCTGTATCCACCTGAAGACTCCAGGCTACTTTACCCTACCAGAATTCCCTATGAAGAATCTAGTGTATTCAGCAAAGTCAATGTGCTTAATCCAAATCTGAGGCAGTATCCATTGTTCAAAAAAGCACAAGCTCATGTGGTTACACTTGTTCCTGGCCAGGTATTTTCTTTGCCCTTGTTGCTTCTTTTACTAAATATCAAATTGAATGAATGAACTGAATGTGAATGAGCTGGAACATCTAATTTAATTTGTTTGTTTGTTACATTGTTATACATCGAGACTCATTTTGGTATAGTGTTTATGGCACCAGAGCAGACACCAGGAGACAGCAAATTCTAATCCTGCCTTAGGTGTGAAAGTAGCTGGGTGACTTTGGGCCACTCTCTCACTCTCCGCCCAATTTTCTCACAGATTTGTTGTGAGGAAAATAGGAGTATTAGGTTTGTTTGCCACCGTCAGTTATTTATAAAAAAATAAAAATGTATGTATGATGTATGTGTGTGTTACAGTTATTATAGTTGTTACAGTGGTAGGGGTGGAGTGGGGGCTGGCCACATATGCCCAGTTAATATCATTTTGTCTCTTCTAAGTGAAAATTGTACTTTGTGAAACAAATGAAGGAAGATCTGGGGTATATTTCTGGGTATGCCAGCAACTTTGAAGGTTCTTAAGTTTCTGAGGATGGAATAGAAGCTATCTCTGTTTTGAGAGTAGTAATTTGCTCAGTTTGGACCTTGGTTATGCACAACCAGCCAAAAACTTTTACATTTTCATCATGATGGATAATTCCATAATGGAAACACTTGCCCAGCAGCTATCTCACTTCTATTTACAGCACGCATTAGCATTCAAATGCAAGCTTTCAAAGTAGTTTTAACAAAGTCATGTGAAAGTTGATTAATCATACTTTACCAGACGAGAAGACTACAATAAATGAACAGCGGCCCTGTGAAGGATTTTTCTATTTGCCAGAATTTGAGGGCCTCAGCCCCATCAGCACGATGCCTTCCAAATTAATTACTCACTCCTTTGTTCTAAGTATAGCTTTCATTACATAATGAGCTACTTTTCTTAGATTTGGGTTGTAGCCCTTTAGTCTCTGATGTCACTCAGTCCCTGGAACGTGTCTTTTAGGGCAATATGACCCTCACACCAAAGAAAGTTCTTATCCCTGCTATATGTACCCACCTCTATTCACTTTTGGTATTTTCTTGGATGTGCTCCAGCGTAGTCATGTATAGAATTGCATTGATGTCCTTCCAAACACTTGTCATTGCATTATATTACATTCTGTATGGCATGAAAAATGGCTATGATATGCAAAACATTCCACATTAAACCGTTTCAAATTTGCAGCACCCCATTTTTCAGCTTGAAATCCTTTCCTTTGAGTGTGAAACAGCTATGTCAATTGCAAAATGGGTTGTTTTGTATATTCTTCTAGTGGGTTAAACTTGAAACAGTGTTGTGCTTTTGAAACACAGCTGTTCCAAATTCAGAATACTTCCAAAACGCTTCTAATGGCCTGTTTCAAACTCACAACTATTATTTCACACTCAAAACAGAGTGTTTAGAATTTGAAGCAGTTTAGATTTGAAATGTTTTGTGCATGCCAATAAATATCTTACTGATGTCAAAATCAGAATAAACTGACTTCTGATTTTTCTCTTCTTCACAGTTCATTTTGTTGCTTTTTGTTATGTTTCTGTTCTTTTTTTAATGATAGCAAGGTATTGCCTTGCATTACAATTGGAAAATCAGCGCAGACTGTCTATTTCAGTGGTTGCAAATGGTAATTGAAGCTGGAGTATCCTAATTTTTAGTTAAAGTTAAACTAATTAAAAGTGAAATGTTGTTCAGAATTGAAGACTTGTAATAGGGTGCCCAAAATTCCATGACACAGGAAAAGCTGAAGACCAAAGAATGCTAAAATTCTCTAAGGATATCATTTCAGAAATACATGACTGAATACAATTCAACATGCAACAAGATTAGGTCAGGATTGTCTAGTCTGAAAGAGATGTTATGAACCAAGATGATAAAATCCTCTAGTAGTAAAGGAAGTCATTCTTTTAGTAGGTACTATTCAAAAGAAATCAAAAATATTATGTCTGCAAATACAGTTACTTGAAAGTTTCCTATCAGCATTACATTACTAGGTAATCTTACACTGTTCTCTGTTCTTATTTGGCCATGAACTGTAATGTGATGAACTAAAATATCACAACAATTCGGGACTGGAAAACAAATAAAGGTTTTGAGATTCAGCATAGCAGTAGTTGGACACTAGATGAGATTATTAAAAGAAACTTAATGTACCTAATGCCATCTTCTGGCCACTGTGTCTCATTTCACTACTTACCCTGAACTTGATGGAACTGAGCAATCTTGGTTTCTATATATATATTTTAATGCAGCCTTAGCCTTATTTTTGGATGAACAGAAGCCAATATAAAATAGCTTCATCCATTTTAGAAGATTCATCTAATCAGTTACGAAGGCTAAACAGGGTAAAATTATGAGGTGGCTTCTTAAATCCTGCCCTATATTTCAATTTTTGACATGATCTTTAAAGCATCTGTGTGATTCCCACTGACAGCCAAGTTCTAGTAAGGTTCTTTCTGCATCACTCTTGCACCTGCAGATGATAATTTGAGCCTGTGGGTTTATAATTGCTTCCTCAAAAATGACAGGAGAGCAATTTGAATGATGCCTTTGTGAGCCTCTGAGAGTTTTGTTTTGTTTTTGTGTTAGTAAAATAGCCTTGGCTAGCTACCTAACTGAGTATTGAGAAAAACCACAGGCCCTCAGAAGTAGCAGCAAGAGATATAGACAGCAGAGTGGCCTCATTTTCACACATGCAGAACTCTTCTTTTTCCATTTGAGGAGCACAAATGTAAAGTGTAAATCAAAAGCTGTCATCGGGTATGGAGAAATGATTTGATAGGGCATTAAAGGGACTGTAATCTCCATCTTGTTCACACTGAGATTACATTTACAACTCAGAGGTGACTATTTTACCTCAGGAAAAAATAAATCACACCCACCCTCCGAATAAACATAGAAAAGCTGTGGGCAGATTTTATATGGTGTAACAACTTACTTCTCTCGGAACAATAGTATCTATACTTTTTTCTCCAGTGAGAAAACATGAGAAGAGATACGAGTTTGAACAACCATTTTATGGAGGATTGTGAGAGTTGAATTCAGGGCTTGAAGGGGCCAAGTCGGTTGACTTAAACAGTTCTTGTTATGTGCAATTGCCTAATTGCCAGTTCAGTGGCTATAACATTCATTATTCATTATTCAGCAACTACATTGGCTTTTTTAAGCTTCAAGGGTACATTGTAATATCCAATCTACTATTCTGTTCTTTTCCTTTCCTATTTTCTACTGTTATAGGTTCAATCATACTAGCCAGACTAAGAGAAGCTCATTCAGGTGATAATATCATAATCCTAAAAAGAGCCATGACTGTCTTTGAAGTCATACACACATGCACGCATATATCCAAACTCTTCTCTCATGTCAAATCATAGATCTATATCATGAACATGGAGGAAAGAAATAATATAAAAGCCTACATGAGTATAGATTTCTCTGCCCAGTTAGGGAAATGTGGATATGTAGACTTTCCTAAGCCAGAGTGTGGTTGGTTGAATCTGACTTACTGTGTTGTTTGAATCAAAGCCTTGTTGGTTTGTACACATTGGCTTGTGGCTTAGTGCAGGAGTCGGCAATCTTAAACACTCAAAAAGCCACAAAGGTCCTAACCGGAAGCCCCCTGTTCAATTCTGGAGCCGACCAAAAGTCTGGGATGAGAGAGCCCCACATGGCTCCAGAGCCGCAGATTGCCAATCCCTGGCTTAGTGTGTTGTGTGAATCCAGTAAATTGTGGATTGGATCCTTATTTCCTCCAGAAACACCAGGAATTGAGAGGCGGTTCTTCTTAGTCACAGTTCCCTTGCTCCATGGCAACTTCCCAACCCCCAGGTTAGGATGGCTCCCTGCTTTTTAACTGTGTTTGTGTGTTTATTTTACCTGCCCAACTCCAATGGGAAATTTAACAAAGCCAAGACTTTCTTTTCTGTAGTTTTTGAAGCAGAATGTGCAACATAATAACAGAACTACAGAACTGTTTTTTTAATATGATTAGTTTGCCATTTTCTAGACTTATTATAGATAACATTTTTAATGCATTGTTTTACTGTTTTTGTTCCCGTCAGCCATCTGGAATTATAAATGAAGTGGCATTGGAATGCACATACATAATCAATCTTTAAAATTTGTCTTACTTAATAACAGAAGCTTTGTGTGATCTGTGAGAAAGTCCAGTTTGTCCTTTCAAATACCACTTTCCGGGAAAGATAAACAGGCAAGAGATCGTATTTTCATTCCTAACTTGTGACCATAGTGTGAAACAGGATGGCAGAATAAATAGACTATTGTTCTGATACAGTGTGAGTCTTCTGATGTTTTGAACTAATCTGATCTTGCTCCCCAAAGTAGAGTATAGATTGGAATTTGGCAGGCCAGGTGGACTCTGCGTTTCTGCTGAGGTTTCAGTCTACTTCTGATCTGAACATCTAAATGAATCAAAATACACTTAGATGCCCTGGTGATTATTAGCTACTACATTTGCATTTCATTCCTCCAACAATGTTCTCTGTGTCAGAACGTTAGTTCTGATATACTTCTATGTGCATTTTATGGTCTCTTAGCTTTTAATTTATGATAATTCACTTACTTTCACAATTCTTAAACAGCTCAGCATGAAAGTGTAAAAAGATGGTCCTTGACTTACAACCCATCACTTAACCAAAACTATGACACCCCCCCCCCCCCAAAAAAAAGCTACGTACAATCCTTGAATTTACAACTGCCACAGTCCCTGGTCACATGATCACATTTTAAGTGCTTGGCAACCAGTACATACTTATGACTGGTTGCAGTGTCCCATAGCCACATGATTATGATTTGCTATTTTTTTTTGCCAGTTTCTGGCAAAAAACACCCATTTGGAAAAGGGATGTGTGATTCACTTAACAACCATATGATTTGCTTAACCAATGGTAATTCACTTTACCATTGTCATATGGATGGTCAAAATCCAGTCACTTGGTGCCTCAACTTATGACCGCAATGACTTAACAACTGAAATTCTAGGTTCCACTGTGGTCATAAATCAAGGACTAACTGTAGGGACAGCCATTGCTTGGTCTTTTGCTAGATTCAAAAATATATTATTTTTACTATTTATTGACTTTCTGCAAACTGTATAGTAAGTTCTTGCTCAGCCAGTCTTCCAGCTGATTAGCAGATGTTTTTGGAAAATATACAGTATATTTCATTTGATTATTTCCCAAGTATACAGTGTACAATCTACTTACGTTATGAAATAAGAAGTTAGAAGATTGAATTGGAATTGGTAGTTGAATTCCTGAGCAATTACACTCTAGTCTGCAGCATTTTGTTGAAATGTCTTTTCTAATGTTTCTTCCACTTTTTAAAAACAAATTATTTACAGGAATGCTTTTTACTTATCTTGAAAGATGAGCATCTGTTTCTAAATAATTGATGGCATTCTTATCATAAACTAACAGTATATTTATGTCACTCTCATGTGATCACCCTATACATTATGGGTGATGTGTGGATAAATGAATGTTTAGGCAGGCTTCATGATAAAATATAGGATAATCACATTGAAAGGGACTCTAGATAAATAAGCTTTCTTCAATGTGATATACTCTTTTCAGTGGAATAGTGCATAAAATCATATGCCAGATTTATATGTAAATATATATTTCAATAGTTACATTGGCTGGATGTGGCAGAAGCCTGGCTTATCATTGATGACATTTCCTGCAAAATCTTTGTGGGTTTTCATGTCTAATACTTTGGGTGAATGTCTAACTGTCTTGTATGTGTCTTCTTCAGAAGTATTTGCACAGGAGAAAATGTAGTGTTGGGATCCATGGACTCTTTGCAGCTTGAAGTGACAGCTCCATTAGAAAAACTCTTGAAATATTATTTGACTAAATTTTGCCTGTACCTTTCTAAATCCAGTGAATTAAAAGAAAATTCTAACTCCTGCTTATATATGCACGGGTTCAGGTTTAAACCCCTGTTGGAAATAACCTCTCATCCCAAATGTTCTTATCAGTGACCACCACCCCCTTCCCCAATAGTAAATACTGTTGAATAAGACAATGAAATGTTGTCCTTCTAACTGGAGATAGGACGGTTTTAAAAATAGCAAGAACAAGTGAAACATTGAGATCTTGAAGTACCTTGACTACCCTATTCAGCAGTAAGGCTGCTGATAGAGTGCTTCAATTTACATGTCATCAAATCTCCTAAATTCAAAATTACCAGGTTGCTTTCAGAGCCAGAAGTTCCACAATTCCGAATACTGTTTGCTAGAAGAAAAATATGGAAGAGGGCTTACAGACCTCTTGCCTTGTTTACAGACTTTCCATTGGCGGCTAGATGGTCAGTGTGGAAAAAAAGGTGTCCCTGCTTCCCACTGAAGCCTGATATCAAATTTCTTATGCCCAACTTATTTCTAGGATATGTTTCAATCTGTCTATTTTTTACGGAAACCTATGGCTTAGGTTTTCTTGCAAAAAAAAGACCATTTTAACAATGAACTTCTATTAAGCCAGCCACTATAGGCAGTCATCAAAACATGCAAATGTAATGGAGCCCATCTATCCCAATTATTTTTTTGTAGCACTTGTTGAACGAACAAAGTGGTTGATAAGTGACCAATCGTTTGCTATTGGTTTTGCCAAAAACTGAAAGTGCCGGTTTTGGGCAAAACCATTATAAAAGTCAGATGATCATGGGATGCTGCAAATGGCATAAACGTGACCACATTGTCAAGTTCAGTCAGATGAATATGGATCTGTTCCAACCTTGGATATGGATCATAAATCCCATTTTTCAGGTAGTCGTAACTTTGAATAGTCTGTAAAGCAATCAGTCATAAGTCGAGGACTAACTGTCATTCATACCAATTGATTTCTTTAATTTGTGTTTTTCACAGAGTTGTTTGATTTCATGATTGCTGACTAAACTCTGATTTTAATAGGGCATATTTTATTGTTTTTCACTTTTTAATAAGGTCCGAGATTACTCATCTGCCTGGAAGAGTGGGTTAGAGGTACTGCAGAATATATTATCCATAAAAGTCATAATTCCTTAGATGTATCAAGTGCAAGTGGAGATCAATGATAAAAGATTTAAACTACTGTTGAAAGTATTCTTTTCAAGCCTTTCTGTTTACATTGTACTCTTGTGCAACATACACGTTTGTAAGAAAATAATTTACAACTTTTCAATTCTCATTTCTTTTTTCAGGTCTTGTTGGTTCCTAGACACTGGTGGCATTATGTTGAGTCCATTGACCCCATCACTGTTAGCGTTAATTCTTGGATTGAACTGGTATTTTTCTCTCCGTTTCTTAAAATTATTTTAAGATTTGACTCATTTTAATGATTTGACTCATTTTATCTGTTAAAATTGCCAGCTGCAAACCATATGGAGTAACTGCATATTCACAAACAATCCACTGATAGCATAAATTTTTTTGGGTTAGTTTATAACAAAGATTGATAATAAAAAGGATGTTTTATTGGCAACTTTCCCACAATTTCATGCTAGAGTTTTTCTCCATAATGATCAAGGCAATTAAATGAGGAGCTCTTAGTATGGAAAGCATGTGTGCTACTATCAAGCTACACTCTCGGCCATGACATCTGTCTACCTTATTGTCAATTAGTATTATGCATATGTAGGTACAATAATTGCAGAGCAGTTACTAGAATAATTTTTTCTTCCATTCCCCTCCTGTTCCTTTTGGTTTCCCTAGCATTGAATCATTGAGGCCCACAAGAGGCCCATCCACTTATAATCTGTAACATACCACATACATAAATTATACTACATAATTCAACATTTTGATTGCATAAATTTTAAATCAAAGTGATGCAGGTAGAAATGAGACCTGACAGGATGATTTGTAACAGACGTAGACACGGTATCTTCATCCATCTGACATCAAATATGTGGAGAGGAGAATGGAAAGAGGTATCATTGAGGCTTGATAGGATTAGAAATCCATTCAGGCTCTGTTTTCTTGTGTAGTTAAAAATCTATACAACTGTATTTCAACAAGTTTGACAGATTTCAGAGCAGTTCTTTTTTTTAGCACAGAGCCAATAAATCTACATCCTTTGATCAGGAGACAGATCATTTGCAGAGGACATGGAGGAGGAAATTTGAAATACCGTTATTAAAGAGGGTGCCTTTATATTTTGTTGAGAAAGTAGATTAGTATGATCTGAGATCTGACAGTAGATTAGTATGCAGCTGAGTTGATATGTTAAGAAATACTAGGTATAATAGGGTGGGAAGCTGGTTGTTCCCCAGTGGTGTCTAATGATCTCCTAGGAGTTCCAGTAGGGAGGGATGCTAGGAATTGTGGTACATTAATAACTGGATGGCCAGAATTCCCACCCATCCCCACCCATACAGGATGCCTTATGCATTATTTCCCACCCCTCTTGATATAGCGCATATATTTAAGAGTTCAAAAGTAAGCAGGTTCAATACATTCCAATTTTGCTTGCCATAACCGCTTTTTCCAAATTAAAAACCTCACAAACGATATAAGTTGAGCATGGAGGTTGTTTAACTTGAGGACTGCTGGGACTACCCTTTGTGGTGACAGCCGATTATATCCTATTATCCCCAGAGATGATGGCAACATTCCTTTCTAGATGTAGGGTTATCCATCTTGGAAAAACAATGCATGACATAGATGTTAAAAAGTAATATCAAGAACATTTCCATTATTCACTCAAGCAGTACTCTGGCTTATGGCAATAAGCAGCTGCTATCATATTGATATGATAAGTGAATGCCATGCCAGTTTCAGCCGCTCTACTGATACAATTAATTATTCTACTCATGCTTTACAATAAGAGGAGCAGAGTTTAGTTTGCTTCTGACACATTGAGACCATGCCAAAGTTTGCATTCTAAGATAAGTGATTAATATTATTCATGGGCTTCATCAGGCAGAATGAACTTTTCGGAGTTGCAGTAGCCTGACAATTTTCATATGGCTAAGATAAGCTGCTCTAAATATGCATTATTTCAGGTACTAAAAGGTGAGGCTAAATGTTTCAGACTTAGGAAGCTGTGTTGTGATAAAGAGTCGGTGGGAAACTATATACAAAGCCTGCAAGAGAAAGTAAAGTCTCTTATCCCTGAATGGTACCAATTTCTATGGAATGTCCATTTATTCTGAATTTACAGCTTTGTATCATAATTCTATATATTTCTGACTGTATGACTTAACCTTGTGGCCCTGAGAAAAATGAGCAGTAAGAAAAGCTTCCCTATATATTCAGCAGCAATAACATTTGAAATAAAATTGTTAAGACGTAATGCAATTCTAAATTTTACAAGGGTTTCTTCTGAATCTGCAGAGCTAGGATTATCCAATTTATTAATGAAAGAGACTTAACAAAAAAAGCATTGTATCCAACCTCTAATAGTTCACTTTTCTATGTGCCTGTGAGTCAATGTTGACTCTTAGCAATTGGCTGGACAAATGCTTGTAGTTTTCTTGGCAAGATTTCAAAAGTAATTTGCCCTTGCCTATTTCCTAGGGCCGAGAGACAGAGGGGGGGAGGGAGGGAGAGGGGGGGAAGGGAGAGGGAGAGAGGCTAAATCATACAATGAACAGTTGAGGAAACTGGGAATGTCTAGTCTAACAAAGAGAAGGTCTAGGGCTGGCATAAGTATTTGATGTGCTGTCACAGAGAGGAGGGGGTCGATCTATTCTCCAAAGCAGCAAGACAAAAAGTAATGGATGAAAGCCACCTAGAGCCTACCTAGAATTAAGGAAAAGATTCTTGTCAGTGTGAACAATTAATCAGTGGAATGACTTACCTCTGGAAGTTGTGGGTGGTCCATCACTGGAGGCTTTTAAGAAGGGGTTTGGCAGCCATTTGTCCCGAATGGTATAGAATCTCATGTTTGAATAGGGAATTGTCCAACAGTTATTCTATATTCTAGTTTTAAATACCGGGTTGAGCGGGGAGGAGAGCAAGACAGAGAGAGCGTAACTCGGCCTCCTGGTTTCTAGCCTGTTGCCTTAACCACTACAACAAACTGGCTCTTTGTAGTGCATTATATTGCACTAATATAAGGGAGGTTTGTACTGCTTTAACTTGAGCTACTATCCAGGGGTGAGAGGGAATGATATATGATCTGCATTGACCACATTGCCCATACAGATCACTTCTGTGTTTACAGTGTGTTTGTGGTAGGAAACAAGGTACAAGGGCTTCTCTTGAATGTTTTCAAGCAGTCCTGTCACATGATATAAAGCTCAACCTCGGATGTAGGATGCTGAAGCCTGGTTGGAACTTAACCAGAATTTGGCTTACCATAAAGCTCTGTTGATTTGTTAATTATAACTTTGCATTCTTTCAGGCAGATATGAGTTATATGATATAAATATGACATGGCATCATCAGAAATGCAAATGGCCTATTAAGTCTGCATAATGATGGCAATAAATGCTAGAAGGAAAGGCAGAGAATATAGGAAGGGAGAAAGGAGGAATTTGGGGGGGGAAAGAGTTTCTGTGGGAAAGTTGCAAGCTACTGATCAAGAGCAAAGGTTGCATCTTGCTATCGCTTTGCTACAACCCCGTTTTCATATGTAAATTCAAGCAAACAAGCCCCACTTCTCCATTCTGCCTTCAGGACTGTACTGTAGGCCACCAGTACCATTTTTATGCAATGATTTTGTTCCTTGTTGCCCAGGGAACTGTCCTTAGCTCCAAGCAGTTCAGCTAAACATGAAGGCTTTGCTTTCTTAGGCAGCTCATCTTGATGAAATCCTAAATTAGTCTTTGTATTTCACCTCCTAAAGGCACCCAAGAAAGACATGACACCTTGTAGCATGGAAGAATCAATCATGGAATTCTTGTTTCATCTTTAAAACTCTGCATGCTGGTATCCTTCATTAAAGCCAACGCTGCTGTCTTTTTCACCCTTCTGTTGCCGTGTAAGACTGCAGTAATACATTAGTGGGCTGGTGATACTGTCAGATGACAGCAGGCTCTCTGGAATTTATAATAATTTAGTAATAGCTTGCAAGGCATTTGTGTTCTCCTAGTAATTTGTGTGTGAAAGGGAAAGTATATGTGTGTTTAACAGCTTAAATCCTTGAGAGATAGAGTTTGGGACATGCCTTTTTGATCTTCCTAAATTAAAGATTCTGTATATTAGATGATATCCCCCTGGTATAAATTAAGGTTCGTAAGTCTCAATTTAACACTAATGCAATAGAACAACTGCCAATTAGGAAAAATTATATAATTGTTTGATCAGGCGGCTTTTATGGGCATTTTATGAAATTATGAAATCCCAGATAAAATAACAAGGGGTGTTATTTACCCTGTCTGCTTATTTGAGAAATCACAGATCCTTTTAACACGAGTGCTATGATTTGTATAATATAAGAAAGTATTTCAAAGCTTCTAGAGCTGCTAGATAAATTTTCATTCTTCAGAATATTAGAGATCCCTCATAATATGATAATGAAATGAAGCATACCTCCTCTCTACCTCCATACCCCACCAGTATTTCTCAGCCTTGGCCACTTTTAGATTTGTGGACTCCGACTCCCAGAATTCTTCAACCAACAAGACTGGCTGGGGAATTCTGGGCGTTGAAGTCTACACATCTTAAAGGGGCCAAGGTTGAAAAACACTGGTTTTAGACCAATGCCAAAGGAATAGTAACAGCTTCAAAATACATTGGACTCAGCATATCCAAATGTTTCTTCACCTGCTAACCAAAGTCCTTTCCATATATTCAAAATATACCATGTTTTCCTTTCTTTTTCCCCCATAGGATGCAGATCATGAAGTCCGCATAGAAGAGGCAATAACTCGAACAATGATATGTGCAATCAAGTCTGCAGAAAATCCCAGTGACACAGATTCTTGGCTCAACCCCACAGAGGTTTTCCTCTTCATTTTATCTTATAAAGTTTTTGTGGCATTTTTGCCTGAATTATATCATTGTAAGGTTGACAATCCCTGCCTCAGTTGTATGCAGCAATGATTAGCATCTCCAGAGTGACTAAGTATGAATCTCTATGGCTGTTCTATTTGATCTTAGATTTGGTACTAAGCCAGAAATGTGATATTGGTCCAGATGGAGTACTACATCCTTCTCTAAGATATGGATTTTGCTATCATCTCTTTTTGTAACACTATACACAATCAGTGGATTTAGCAATCTGAGAACAGTAAATGTTTTGGAGTTGTTAGATTTTTGGAGGACAATGTAATAAATATTGATTCATTGCATGATTTTAGTTCAGCAAAGTTTGTATAATCTGATTTAAAAATTATTAACATTGTGCTATTTAGAAAGCTTAAAGTATTGAAAATAAAAGAATAGTAAACATTTTATCAATTATTAATTGCCATTTAGGATGTTGGAGTAACAAACATAACTCTGTTATGTTTAACTTTTAAACGGTTAAGTTATTATTTAACTTAAATTCAATAAATAAAATTTAACTTTTCATCCAAAATTATATAGAAGAACCACTACAATTCACATCAAAATATTAGTTATTTGATAAGTTTCAACAAATTAGCTCCTCCTCCTACGGGAAATGTAGTTTGTATGTTTGGGAATGCACTTTAATAAGTTCATATATTATTATGATGGTGTAGGATTTTGTGGGAAAGGAGCACTTGGCCAGGGAGAGCTTCGAATCACACACCATTTCCTTCTGATGGACATGCAAAATCAAACATGAACAGGGAGTCGGTGTTTCGCTGTCTCGCTCTTTTCTTTCACTGGGGTGGTTTGCTGTGGGTATGCATTTCCTTGGATGCTGCTAACATCCCACCTCAGTTAATGGGGATGGAAATACTTTTGGGAAATGCCCAACATGTTCTTTAGTGCTCCCCCAGCTGAGTGAGAGGATTTATGCCTCAACCATAGCATGGAGAATTCACTTTTAGAGGGAAGAATAATGAACAATAACTCACTTACACTTCCTGAGTTTTAAATGGGAAAGGGGCTATGGAATTACATGGTGCCTTCAAGGGTCTGCCCAAAGCACAGGGATTTCTGGAAGTCTTTGACTACTTCAGTTACTTTCAGTTAGTTCCAAGTGCTTTTGCATGCTGGCTCTTACGTTTTGATACCTTTTATTTTTTGTGTTGTTTAATTTGGGGGTCTTTGAAGATTATCTTTTTTAACTGCTTTGTTTTCTGAACCACTTTTAGTTCATAATTTTAAAAAAGCAGAGATGTAAAAGTTATATAAAATATAATTCCTTGTGTACCCAATCACACTTGGCCAATAAAGAATGCTAGTCTAGTCTAGTCTAATCTTCAAAATAAAGGTGTATGTTCAGCTGAACTCAACTGGCAGATTGGATGCTCCTCTCTCATGATCCCATATATGCTTGATTGGATGGGAAGAAGTTAACCTCATGACATGGGATGTAGCACAAAATATTTTAAATGAAAGTAATACTGTGTGAATCTAAATATAGTACTTCGTGTAGGACAAGAGACAGATTTAGAGAGCATCCAGTCATATATTTTCAGAAATAGAGATCAACCATTTTTTTTTCCAACGTGTTTGAGTCCAGCACTGAGAATTTTTTTCAGGCTGCTTGAGACTTGCTGTAAAAGGTAACTTTAAAATTTTAATGAAAAAACTTTAACATTAATTTTTAAGACCTTGTTGTCTTAACATCTAGCCTAGGGGTGTCAAACTGGTGGCCCACGGACCAGATGCGTCACGGCCAGGCCATACCCACCCAGCTCTGCGAATGGGGAAAATGTTGCAAAACATCACATGACAGCAGAGGTGGTATTCAGCAGGTTCTAGCCAGTTCTGGAGAACCGGCAGCGGAAATTTTGAGTAGTTCAGAGAACCAGCAAATACCACCTCTGACTGGAGATTTTACAGTATTCTTCCCTGCCACGCCCACCAAGCCATGCCCAGAACTGGGTAGTAAAAAAAATTGAATCCCATCACTGCATGACGGCAACGTGAAACGGTGAGTTTAATACCTGTGATCTAGCCCATTGGTTTTAATTACATTTTTCCCCCAATCCCTCTTTTTTTTTCTCCATCCCAATTTGATGAAGAGTTTAGAACAATTCAAATGCTGATACAGTATTTTCTAATATTTTGATTGATCTCTAAAGAAACACCGCTTAACTGTGAAGTTTACAAAAAGACCAAGGATGCTTTTTTCTCCTAAAAGAAATAAATAGAAAGGATGTTAAGCCACTACAGCTTTTCAAATTCAAGGATGGTGAGGTAAAAGAGTTAAAGCTGAGAAAGGAGCAGAGATAAATAAAATATACGTATGTATCCATGTGTATTTGTATGTCCGTGTGCATATATTTAAATCCTCACAAGACAAAAAAGAAAGCAAATAAAAATAATGAGGATAGCTTCTGACAGGGAACTGCTTCAATAAATTATTAATATTAACATTAATATTAGTCATGTAGATATTAGGTTGAATTCTATTTTCTTTCTTTTTGCCAGGTTGAAGTAACCTCCCATAACACCAATCTTGAGTATTTAAATAAAGCCATGTCTTCCTATTTAGAGCATCAGAAGACAAGTGTAATTAAGCACCAGGTCCCTCAAATGCACAGTACCGATGGAATTCTTCAAGAGTCTTACAAGAGGAGGAAAGTACAGATCAATACAGAATCTGAGTGCATAAAATCTGAACCCTGTGACTCTAGCAGAACAGTAATTGAAATAGAAAAGCTGACAACAATTCCCTTTGGACAGAGCCTTTTTCAGGTTTTACCACAGTCCCAGGAAACTTATCCAACTGGAGTAGCTGAATGTGACAATAAAGACCTTGTCAGTGAAAGCGAGAGACATTTTGGAAAATTACATCCTGCTGGGAAGACATCTGCAATGACTACTGATTCTGGAACCCTCGTGGAGGATCTAGAATGCATGACCACCTTCCCACAAACTCTCATTTCTACAAATGATTTGCTAGATTGTGCACTGAACCCACAAGTCGTGAGTTTAATAGCTCGTCTTTTATTGGAGAAAGTGAATGTTTTGAATCCATTGAAATAATAATAATCATAATAATAATAACAACAACAACAATGACTAAGTGTACTCTGGAAGGTCCTGAACTTTTGGAGAACTAAAAATAAGAATTGAAATGCATTTTAAAAAGTACAAATGTAGACTTCCAAATAGTATAATGGTTAAGCCTGTAATAGGTAATACGGGGCAGATAATACAGTAGGAGCATAATGGTATTATACACAGTAGCAGTAATCATAATAAATATTTCACCTAAAGGTTTATAGGCTTTCATAATACTGTACCATCTTGGGAACTTTTGAATAGATCTGTTAGGTTAATGACATTATTGTTCTGACACGTTAGACGTGGCTCCTGAACCAGAGAGAGAGATTAGTTTATCTAAAGCCAGTAATCCAATAGGTGATATTAAAAAAGTATTTCCAATCAGAAGCTCATGTTCTTACAAAATTAACTCAAAAGAAGTGGGGGAAAGTTACAATATGTCTACCTTTCAGGGATTAAGTATTTTTCCTCCAGCCATTTAATTCCTAAATGGCAAATGGACTCTAGTCTCCCCAAATCTGTTTTTATCATAAATGCATTTAATCTTTGCCATATATAGTATGTCATTCATTATTTTCCATCTAGTCCATGCAGAAGGAATGAACCTGGATGGGTAAACATTAGTAATAAATATTACCACATGCAAGGATGTGTTGTTAGATCAAGGTTCTTGATTACTGTGCAATGGTTTTCCATGGAAGTAATTCCCCAAACATACTTGCTTGTTGACAAAATTCCTTAAGCAAAGCTGTCCTTTGTTAAAGATGGACACTTCAACCTTTTTCAATTCAGTGCCATCTAGATATGTTGTACTACAAAATCCAGCATCCCCTTTTGTAGGGAAGGCTATAGTAATATGCTGTGTGCTACATCTTCTGTAGCCATAAAAAAACCCACTTCATCATACCATTATGTTATTTACTGATTATTTTCTTTCTACTGAAACTCTTGTTGATGGACTACAGCTTCACACAAGCATATACTTGACAGATTTCTATCTTGCCTTTTAAAACAACAGCTGTTAATAATAGTAATTACATAACAGTAATTTAAGACATAAAATAAAGGACCAATAAAATGCAAAACAAAAAAGGCAAGTAAAATATCAACATAATCTCTAAAATCTACTCAGCAATGCTTTAATAGATATGCTCATACGCACAAAATATACAGTATTATCTTGTCTAATGTTTTGCTTCACCACTAGAATTTGCTTGGCTGGTATCGTTACAAAACAACTTCCAATTAGTAAATGCACAAAGCACCTAAGATGTAAACACAAGCTTAGGTTTCCCATTTATATCCTCCAAGACTTCCCCTCTGGGTTATTGCCTTGAGCACTGAAAATCTGAAAATTCTTCTCAAATCTGTGGATTATACCCATTGATTTGTGACTACCATACATTGCTGGAGAAGGGAAGTGAAAATCAATAGGCAGAAGAGATCAAGACGTATTTTCATTGCCTGTGCCTACAGCAAAGATTTGTTCCCAAGCCACATTGATTGTCCTAAAATATGAATATTGATGCCCACCGAGTTGGTCTCCTTGGGTACTAACCAAATGAACAGTGTTTTCAGTAGCATTACCAAACAGGACTGTTCAAAATTAGATGTAGTCCTTTCTTTGCAGTGCTTAAGGCTTCGGCACTGATCCTGTTAATTGTTCAGAAAAGTCATTCAGAGTTCCTGATTACAATCCAATATATAATTAGACTTCCAAATCAGTTTATCATGGTTGACTTTATTGAAATACCTGGAAACATATTCCAAGAAAGAATCCCATTCATATAGTCAAAAAAGATTTTAGTTCAGCTTTATTCCATTTTTAAAGAAGTGATGCTTTGCTTGGTGCTAAATTTGAACCAAGTTCCCAATTTAAACTAAACTTGACAATCTTAACAAGCCAGATTTCACCAATGGATCATAAATTTGTCTTCTAAGGCTAACCCAGGGGTCAGTAATTTTTTCAAAGCATGGAATGGCCTCAGAAGTTTGCTGCAAAACTAAACGCCTGCTGTGCTATTAATTTTTTAAACATCAATAAACCAAATCAAAGTGTCAAATATATGAAATAAATAGCCTATTGAACAAGTGAGTTCTTTTGACTATGCAGGAGTGGTTTTTACCAGCACTGGGTCATGGTTAAATAGTTTGAAAAGAAACCCAGCAAGGGCTGAGGTAAGTTCTAAATATTATACGAATTATTTAACTATGGTTACCCAGTACCTTAACCACTATAATGAAAGTATGTAGGTGCTGACCTACTGTACGTTTCAGAATTGTGAGGCCTTAATAAAGTTATCCCACTTAAACAAGTTCAGATCCATTTTTTAAAGATGCATACTGGACATTGACAAGACACATCTGCCAGTGCAGTCAGACCAGAAACAGGTATCCACTCCTTGCTTAGTCATTTATTAATTCAATTTTGTACATACTGGCAGAGGATCCATTAAATAGACCCTGACAGACTTCCCAAAATATGCTTACAAGATAAGTATGACCCAAATGAGTGGTGCAGTAGCCTAGAGGTGAAGCTCTCGCCTCACAATCAGGAGACTGTGAGTTCAATCCTAGGTAGAGGCAGATATTTCTCCCTCTGGGCATGATGATAATATATCTGCTGAATATAACTCCGCATTGGTGACAGGAAGGGCATCCGGTCAGTAAACACTCAGCTCCATTCAGTTGCCCAGACTCCACCCTGCAAGGGATTATGGGATCATTAAAAGAAGAATATGATAATGATAAGAATGACGCAACTCCTGGGTCAACTAACTTTCTAAAATCATTTCACAACATGGGTTTTCTATCCAGCATCTACTCAAGAGCCTTCCAGGTAGGTATGGGAAATGTTTAAAACAAAGAATCCTGAATATTAGTGCTCAAACCGACATAGAATTATTGACTTAAACATAGATCCTGGATTGGTTAGCTAAGAATAAAACTATTTTTTCAGCTTGACAAAAACCTGTCATTGAGTCTGACACATATTTTAAGAAAGGCCTATTCTAGAGCAAGATTTGAATTGTCCATGGTGAAATATGGATGCTTTCACCACTCGCCATATTAGGAGAGAACCTGTATATGTAGTACCCTAGCCATTGAAAATACTTCTCATATTTTGTTTTAACAGTCAATTATATGTCCCCACTATGCTTCCATGCTTATCATCCCTATTCGAAAGAATAGCTCACTGGCATTTGAATCACAGATTTTTCTGTTTCTTCCTGGCTCAAATGCATGTATTGGATCTAGAACTGCTAAGTTCATAACTAAGAATCTGATACATTGAACAAGTTGAATCTTCCTGTGAGGGAGATTTATTTGTCTGATTATTGAGTCTTTGTATTGCCACATACAGTATGTATTTGATCACTCGTTCCTCTTATCTATTTTATTTCAGAATTAAACTTGCACTGTATTTTTTTTATTTTATTAATAAGAGTGGTTGTTCAATAAACCACTACTACTTTCATTAGTACACAGCACACCAAATATTTTATAGATTTATTGATTGAGTATTCCAATACATCTTTTATATATACAGTATATTTCTTCTTAAGAGGAAAATATATTATGGATTTTTCTCCACAAATCTCAACAGTATCTATTGCTTCTGCCTCACTTCTTCTTTTTCTTTATTAATTATTGAATACTCAAAGTTGCTGTAGTTTAACTTTTGTTCCTGCTATATTGCCATATGGCATTCAGCTTAATGTGTTTATTTGATTCATTTACAAGTGATCTGTTCCATGCCCCAAACCCTGTAGCCTTCCAGATGTTCTGTACTATTATTCTCACCAGCCCCGGCCTGCACAGCCAATGGTGAAGTCTGCTGGGAACGGTTGTTTACAACATCTGGAAGGCTACAAGTACTTCAGCCTTACCTAAGATTATTTGATTTTTTTTTTGTATTCTTTTACAATAAATTAGTTTCATACTTGCACAACCACCACCACAATTATGGTAATTTAAGCAATATTAGTCCTAATATGCCTCACTTTCCATTAAAAAAAAAAAACTTCTTCCTAGTACTCAAGTCGTTATGTCAGTCCTGAAGCCATTTTGGAAGCATCTTCAGGACTGCCACAGCAAGGCTAGTCGGAGCTGTGGAAACATGAGGTAGAGATAGCTGGGGATGTGTAGCCAAAATAACATTCTTTCTCATGGAACCAAGGACACTCTACCAGGTGTTGGAGACGCGTGGACCAAAGCTAGCCAGGATTGGGGCTGCGACCTAATTGGACCATGTGACCCTGTGGGGGGAAGAATGTTGGGGTTTTGATTTGGGTGGGGAAAACCTTGGTGTCAGGGTTCCGAGAGATGCTCTAATTAATTCAAAGAAAGCAACTCGAGAGCAAGCAAGGAATGCTTTACGAGTTGACACTTGGGTCTTTCAGAGTTGGGTTTTCCACAGAATGCCAATATGATGCATCATATGCCTAGTAAATGTGTACTTTGAGGAATATTTCTGCCTTGGAGTTTTGATTCCATTGGGTGTGTTAACTGGAACCCTGACACTAACCCGATTCTGACATATTATGCTCCTATTGTTAAACTTGGAATCATTTCTGATGAAGATGTTGACAATACCCTTCCACAAAACATCCTTTTGACTTTTTTAAAAGAAACCATCCCAGATATCATAGGCTAAATTAAGTTTAATTCTGTTTACATTGTTTTTTAATCATTTGTCCAGCATATACAAGTCATCCAACGAATGCAGGATTGATCCAAAAAGGTCGCTGCCTAATGCAAAGAGCACTTGGTCTGGCCACTGAATTCATCCATTTGAACCTAAGCGCTGAAGCAGCAGAGACACGAATCTGGTCTATTTGTGACCACTTTCCATATTTTTAAAGGGGGCTGTCCTATGACATCTTAATTCTTTTCCTGGATAAATAGATGCATCTCCTTCAAATCTTTTCTGAAGCATGTTCACATGAATTCTCAGAAACATTGTTTGCCTTTTGCTTCGAGTAGTTTGACAATTTTTCCTAGCATGCTATTTAGCGTCCAAATGGCTGTTTGGATAGATATTTTGAGTCTAATGGATTTTGTATAGACTGAATTGAAATGAATTCTAAAAGGTTGTCCTTTAATAGTAAACTATCTCCCATTTTGATAATGACATGGCTTCGTATCTCTTTGTGGATTGGTATGAATTTTCAGCTAGAAAAAAAGATTAGCTGAAATATTTCAAATGCATGCAATGTAATGGTTATTAGCAGTGGCAAAGGGAAAAGTTTAAGCTGTTTGCTTATTCAGAAGAGTGAGTGAAAAGAGAGAGAGAGAGATCCACAAGAACAATGGACACACATTTACTACAATCATCCTCTTTTAATGACCCCATAATCCCTTGCAACATCGAGTCTGAGCAACTGAATGGAGCTGAGTATTTACTGGCCAGATTCCCTTCTTGTCGCCAATATGGAGTTAATTTCAGCAGATGTAATCTCAGTGTGCCTAGAGAGAGAAATATCTGCCTCTGCCTAGGTTCGAACTCACAGCTTCCTGATTGTGAGGCGAGAGGTCCACCTCTAGGCCACCGCACCACTCAACACAATGCTGGATACATTTTTTGTGTGTGTCGATTTAAGTGTGTATACACACACAGCCCAGTCACAAACCACAAAATAACAGGACTTTCGACACAGGCAAAAACATTCCAAGTCATCATACCTCTCAGAATGGCCAGGTTTTGTTTTGAAGGCAAAACATCAACATTTTAAAAAAACTACTTGTTTTCTTTTTGCTCAGAACAATCAAAACAGCTCTTTGCACACATACACACACACACACACACACACACACACACACACACACACCAGGATACTTCAGATGGATTTCTTCCTAACAAAAATTGTACAATCATTTCCCCCTAATCCTCTACACAGTGTTCTTTTGATTCCTCTTACTCTTGACAACCCCTTGAAATATTCCAAGTTTTACCTGACACTGAAAAATGCTTCCCTCCTCTACGAATAACACTTTATTTTGCCTCTAACAATAGGATTTGCTCCAATTAACGACAAAGCCTTTCCTGAGCCACCAGGAAAGTCTGCTACGGGTAGAAAAATGGGGCTCGTCTAACTGCAACCTTGAAATATGTAAGCACAAGCTGGTTTTTTTTCCTGAGAAAAACCACCTAGAACTCAACCTTAGGTTATTTGCTGTGGAAATTATATTATGCTTTTCCCCAAGTTACGTTCCATGTCACTAGCCTTTGCTTTTGACAGAAGATATTGGATTCTTAACTTGACTTAAAATTGGAGTTTTCCACTACCTTTTCATAGTTCCTTGAACTCATAATTGCTTTGCCATGGTTGAAGACCAACGATTGGTCATATTTTCCTTTCTCCTTGTAATATTTTCTATCGCTTGCCTCGTAGAAAAGATCACTCATGTAATTCCTTTTCTTTCTTTCTTTCTTTCTCATGCTTAGATTGCCAACTTTTATTTTCCCATGCTTTGGATTGCCAATCTGTCTTTTTTTTTTTTCATTAACTAATCCTTGTTTCTATATCTTTGATCATTGCTTAATTTGTAGCCATTAGCAGCCAGCCAGTGCGGTTTCATGGTTAAAGAATTAGATTTAGTCCAAAGAAGCCAAAGCTCAAATATTTGTTCTGCTACTTGATACTGGCCAATCGGTTTTTTATAACCTGAAATCACAAGATTGTTCAATGAATAAAATGGGACAATTACCATGGATGTCATTGAGGACTTTCAGGAGAGCTACAAACAGTGCATAAACCTATTGTAATATAGCCTGCAGGAGAAACAGCATCCACAGTCCACATCCCCACAGGTGAGAGATGGCTCTTTGGCCCATACACAGGTTTTGAGCCATACTAGCCCTACCCTCCCGCCCCCCAATCCTCTCAAAGAGAGAAATTCATAGGAAAAAGCTGGGTGAAGATGGGGCATTCTCAGCAAACTGGTTGACACTGGAAATCTTCAAGAAGATGGAGAATTCAGGAAATTGAGCCATAGGACCATTCATTTCAGAAAACATTCTATTTCTGTAAAACTAGATAAATGTATGTTTCATTAGTGGTTTGTTTTTTTTAAAATTTTCTATAGTGTGCTTTGTCTATGGAGATTCTCAGTCATCTAGGTCATGGTTGTCCCAAAGGTGTATTTTTAAAAGGGAACTGGACTTCATTTTTTCTTTGAAGACTTTTCTCATCCAACAAGGTTCCTCAGCTCCAATTAGATGGTGGGGAATGGAAGGATTTATACTCTTTG